TATATTTTATATATATTTTAAATCTAATAAAAACATTTAAACTGTCGAACTGACTAATGATAGTCTAAGACTTTCAGGCTGCCAGACTAGCGAATAGCCTGTCTGACAGTTTGAGTCATCTGACTCTGACACCCACCGCACAGGATCCCTATTCCCTTATCCCTTTCTTTCCCTCCTTCTCTCTCGGACTCTCACTCCCTCTCTCTCTCTCCCAGTCTCTCTCTCGAGTCTCGCCTCTCTCTCTCTCACCTCTTGGACTCTCTCTCTCTCTCTCTCTCTCTCTCTCTTTCGAACTCTCACTCTTTCAGACTCCCACTCTCCATTTTGGGTTGTGACCTTCGGCGCTCCGCCCTCCGACTGATTCGCCGATGGCCTCGACACTAGCGATCCCTCCTGCTTCGGCGACACTAGAGGCTTGGCTATGGGTTAGAGGCTCTACTGCATCTCGGCGACACCAGCAAAGTGGCATCCCAGTTTTCTTCGACTGTGTTTTTCTTTTTTTTAATTCTCAGGGCATAAAATACCAAAAAACCGAATCGCGGTTAACCGATCCACCGGTTAACTAGTTAACCGGTTGCACCAGTTCGATTTTAGTTTAGTTAAATGTATAAACCGAACATACCGGTTCGATCCAAAATTTTACCCCACGGTTTGGTTAACCGAACTGTGAGCACCCCTAACCAGAATGGTTCCATTTCTGGGTCATTTTTTAAAACCATAGTTACAATCTATGTTATATGATCACTAGGCATCTAACTTATACGGCTGTATCCAATGTTGGTTCCGATTATCCATTAGTGGAATGAATTATGGACATGATAATGCCAGAAATAATGACATCATTATTATTCTCAATACACGGTGGGGATGTGCTGTGGGACATTGTGGGGGAAGAGGGGGGGAGGCAATCTTGTGGGGGGGCTGATTTGAACTCCACAGTCCCGATTGTCATGCTTGAAGCAATGGTTTCTATTGATTTATCAATCTACAGCTAAATTCTTTTATTTTGACAATTATTACATCTATCTATGTTACTATGTATATATAAAGCCACTCGTGAACTTCTTTCTCTCCAAAACTTACCACAAAATCTCCTTTTAGAATTTTTTTTAAATTTTTGGAATTTTTTTAATTCTATGTAATCTATATATATATATTAAAATTGGTCCTGCCATGTTAGCAGTCCTTTCCTTGCTTCAAACCCCCTTACTAATTTTCTGTTTTTTTGAATTTTTTATTTTTTTAATTCCACATAATTACCCATTAAACCAATAAGGAAATCACATATGCTTAACTATTTCTAATAACCATAAAGAAAGAGGGATTTGTTTTTCTAATGTTTAGCCAAGTGGCACCACTTTCCCCCACTTCCTCCTAAATTGTCTCCAATTCATATTTATCTCCTAAATTATCTCTAACTCCTATTTATCACTTAAATTATCTATAATTTAGTAGAGAGATTCCCTCATAAACTATCTCTAATTCCTATTTATCCTCTCACCACTTTTTATTTATATCTATCTAAAGAAAGTTTCAATTAAAAAATTCAGAACTATTTAAATGTTATAATGAAATTATATACTAAATTAAAAGTATTTATTCGAAACACAAAAAAAATAATAGATTTAATAATATTCATATTATTAATAATCCAATATTTTTACAAAAWTCATCATGAAATTATGTAGTAACAATATAAATTATAATTTTATGAATTATTCAATGTAAGAGTTATTCAAATAATAAAATTTAACATTAAAAAATAAAACATTATTTAAATATTTCAATAACTAAAAATCTTAAATAAAAACATTAAAAATAGCTAAATAATATAACAAAATATTTAATATTACATAATAACATTAAATTAAATAAAATTCAAATCATGAAAATTTTAAAATATTTAAATAACAAAATATTTAACATGACAAAATTTTAAATAGTTAAAATAACGAAATTATGTAATAAATTTAAAAAAAAATTCTTAAAAGTAGAAAAATGATTATAATAGAATTCATAACATTCATATTAATAATAATTTAATATTTTACAAAATTAAAAACAAATTATGTAATAATAGTACAATTATAATTTTATGGATTATTAAATTCAATAAATAATTAATATTTTAAGAATTTAAATAACAATATTATTTAAATAAGTAAATCATATTGTAAATAACTAATTTCACTTATATCAATTAATAATTATAGAAAACACCTATAAACAAAATTATATTTATTATTAATAATTTTACAATAATAGTGTATATTCATTATATATTTATATTTATATAACTACTATTTATTTTATTTTCAGTAATTATTTATTGTTTTTTATAAATATGCATTCAATAATTATTTATAAATGTATTTTTATTTTTGTTATTTAATAGAAAATTATCAATAATCATTGGAGATTAAACAACTATTATTTAACTTTTGAAATTTAATTTATCATATTTATTGTATTTTTGTTATAAATTTATTTTTAGTAAATTATGTAATTTTTATAATTTATAGATTAATACTTATTAGATATTAAACTATTATTTAAGATTACACTATTTATTGAATAATTTAGTATACTTTCAGTATTTATTATATTTTTATTATATATCTATTATATTTTCATTATAAACTTATTTTCAATGATTGTGTACGTTTGCTATAAATTTCCAATAATTATTAGAGATTAAACTATTGTTATTTATTAGATATTAGACTTTAAATTTAGTTGAAATTAGAAGTGTTCAATGATTGGTTTAGTTCAGTTGCAGGTTGTTTCGCTAACCAAATCGATCTGATCAAGTCCGCAATTTGTAACTCGAAACCGATTGACCATTAGCGAAAACCTACCAACTCGGGTTGTATCGATTTGAGTCTATTTTCGGTTTAGTTTGTCTATTGAAAAGATTTAAACTTAAAAAATTAACTTTAAATTTCATAAATTACAATGATATTATTAAAAAATAAATTACAAAAATTAAATCTATGATATAAAATATTTTAGACTAACAAATATGGAGTTTTCCTACTTTCCCGTATTAAAAAATTAAATTTAAAATATAAAATATTAATATATATTTATTAAACCATAGTCGATCTGAAATACTAGAAAATCAACCAACTCGGGTTGAGTTTGATCAGATTGTTTATTAAAAAGTTCAAATATAAAACAATTATACTCTTATGTATTTCTATTGTTTAACTTTTGCTTAACAAAACACAAGTCCCCGTCACCATGCCTCTTCTTGCTCCATTATCCCCACCCCGCATTCTCTTTAACTTTCTCTCCTCTCCCCTTTCCACCACTCCCATCACCATGCCTCTCCTTGCTCCATTATCCCCACCCTGCATTCTCTTTGACTTTCTCTCCTCTCCCCTTTCCACTACTCTCATTAAGCCATGTCACCTAACTACTTAAAAATATTCATATAATCCCTCTCCTAAGGTATCTCATTTAAACCAATAGGAAAGTATCATGTTGCCCCACTCCCTAATGAATTCCTAAAATGCATCCCCCCAATCTATATCCACTCTCCCTCATTTAAAATATTCATATTAATTAATAAATAGTTAAATACGATTAATATTTAATCCTACCCATATTCAATGAGTATAAAATAGTGTTATNGTTATTAATTAACTCACTAACAACATTTTATAGAAATTGAAAACTCTTTTAACTAATTTCTATAAAATTGAGAATTATATTTAACAATTATCAAAAAGTATAAAATTTTAGTTATTGTTATTATTATAATTAATAACCAAATACAAATGGGGGAACAAAATATTATAATGTTAGAAAATGAAATTATTAATTTATTTATATTGAAAAATAAAAGATAAATTAGTGTAATTTTGTTAGTAAATTACCAAATAAAAATATTAAATCCCCATAGTTACACAAATGTAATAAAATTTTCAAAAATTTTCATAAAACAACATTTTCGTAAAATAACATTTTTGAAATTAAAAGATGTAACGTATTTGAAAGCTTATTTAAAATTGCATTAATTAATTATTGAAAATTATTAGAATAATTTAGAAAGTTTAGGAAATTTTATTACATTTGATAGATTTTGCAAAACCATTGAAAATTTATGTAATTTTCATTGCAAATTATTGAAAATTATTAAAGATAAATGACTATGAGAAATGGAAAACTATAATTTGAACAAATAATTAAGATAAATTAGTATAATATTGGAAAAAGGAAATTATTGGTTAGTTTATATTAGAAGTTATAAGATAAATTAGTAAAAATCTATAAGTAAACCATTTAAAAAGAAAATAAATTATTTAATAAAAATTTAAATAAATTTGAATAAATTTTCAAAATTACACAAGTACAATAAATTTTCCAAAATTTTCGTAAAATTACATTTTTCAATGTTAAAGACAATTTATTGTACTTTTAGAAATTTACCATGTGGTTGATATTCAATATATCCTTTTGATCATTTCTATCATCAAATTGAGTATTGGGTTGACGAGGACAGTGTTTTCAAAACTTGATCAAACTAGATGGTTAGACCAAAAAATTGGGAACCGGATATTGTTTAACCTCAAAACCGCTTTTTGCCCAAAAACCGTTTATTTGGTTAGCGAACCGCTGACCTGGGTGGTCGAACCGTCAACTCGAACAATAGTTTTTGGCCTTTTTTGTTTTTGTTTTTTTTTCTTTTTTTTTTTTGTCAGAGCAGGTCATGTATTTGTCAGAGCGGGTCATGGTTCCTTATCCGGTCCAATTTTAAAATCCTTGGACGGGGAGTGGGTGCCTTGCCTTGAACTTGGTTTGGTGTGCGGCATGGCCTGGCCCATGGACCAGCCCGACCCGCGGCACGACACGGGCTCGTGCGGGCTCAAGCTGTGGGTGTGCCGAACCGACCCCTAAATTATCCTAGAGGAGGGAGGCAGGGCCCAGGATGCCTCGTGGGCCAACACGGCACGACTCACACTTTGTGAAGGCCACATGCAGGTCGTGTTGTGCCGACCTAAGACGACCCAATTTACACCTCTACTTGAACCTGCCCAATACTGGGGATAGGGCAAGGAAATTCAATGATCCTCCATCCTTGATGAGGAGTGGGATGCCTTGCCCCTGAACTCACCCGACATTGAGGAGTGATTACCTTGCTCTAAACCCACGTAACACTGGGGACGGGCGAGGATGGGGTAGAGTGTCTTGACAATGGGGTAGGGAAAGGGATGGGGTGCCTTGCCCTGAACCCATCTCGTTGTCATTTCTATATAATTATTAATTATTAGTAGAGTTAATAAAAATGTTAGCTTTTATAATTATTTTTGTTTGTTTTAAAATTAATCAAAATTTCATTTAAAAATAATAAAAAGAATAAAAATTATTAAAATTACTACAAATTATTAATAAAACTAAATTTATTAAAAGTTATTTGTTCACATTCAATTAACAATAATTATTTTTTATAAATCAACATTAAATAAAAAATAAAATTATTAAATCTTTTAGATTTCCCGTGCATCGCACGGGTCCCTTCTAGTTTTCTAATAAACCCCCTTTTTCCATATCGATCGTTGCGGGATTTGATTCCGCTTTAATACTGGAGTTAAGCAGCTCACATACCAACGGAACTTGTGGAGGTGGGAATAAAAGGAAGCAAACCCTCGCAACAATCTCTCTCCCTAGACATCTAAATTCCATTAGATATTAAATAATATATATATATATATACGTGGGTTTTGATTGGCCAAAACCCTTTTCATGCCATATCTTTTCCGTATCATAGATTTTCCCAATTATATATATATATATATAAACTACTAAAATTAGCTATCATTGATTTACTTAAATTACAAAGGTGGACTTTTATTAATTGTAATTAGTAATTCTTTTAATTACTTAGATTGAGCCATTCAAGTTAACATACTAGATATATAAATTTTTAAACTTAAGTGAACCAATAAAGTTTAAATTAGAAAATTACTTAAGTTACTAACATTATTGAATTAGAAAATTACTTAAATTACTGAATCAAAAATCAGTGAACTTCTTAAAATTACTCATTTAGTAAAGTTAGTTAACGACAAAATTAATAATTACTTAAACTACTAGAATATAGTATATTAATAAAATGTTTATAATTAGTAAAATTTTTGGTAAATAGTACATTATTAAATTAGAAAATTAGAACATTAATAAATTAGTAAAGTTACCATAAAATACTAAATTAAAAAATTAGTAAACTAATAATGTAATCATAAATTACTTAATTTACTATAATAGAAATAGAAAGCTAGAAAATATATTTAATAATTTACTACTAAAGTTACTATTTCAAGTAAATTAGAAAAATCAGAAAATTGGTTATTCCAATTGGGATAAACCCTCAATTAGAAATGTTATACGTTGATATTCTTTCACTCTTGCTTAACAAATCCCATGGAATTGCACGGGTCCCCACTAGTTATTTATATGACATGAATGATAAATATTATTAAAAAATGTAATTTAAAACCAAAGTATAACAGTTAATCCCTGAATCATATTTTTCAGTCTTGTCAAGTTCCTTACCTCGTACCTATACCAGAATCCATGTAAAACAGGTTTCAATAGATTTGTTTTGTAGTTTTTCCTAGATTATAAAAGAAAAGAGAAATATATGAAAGAAAGGAAAACTGTACCTTGAAGCTGGACTGAGAATGCAGCCATCTACCATAGAATGTTTGGCGAGATTTCCACTAGAGAATATGTCTCTGAGAAAGGACAGTCTCCTCAGTTCTACCTTCATATATATGGAATCTGCTGGATCTCCTATAAAGAGCAGGAAGAAGTAGGTTCTGTGGACCAATGATACATTGCAGGTGTTCCATAGTTCAATAATTTCTTTCCGCTGCCTTTCGAATTCCAAGGGCCAACTTGGAGATTCCGATGAATTCTCCACTGGATCCAATCCCACATCCTTTACAGTCTTTCCAGATTTATCAGCCTTTGGTTCTGTCTCCTGAACTCCAATGAAAGGAACCCGTGTGAAACAAAAATTAAAAACAAAGATACAAAAGAGTAAAATAATATTTCCAGGTTTGCTAAAGAAAATTTCATATTTATCTATGATTTTGTATATTTTTATTTTACCAAGAAAATAACTAGTTTTAGCTAAAAAACATAACCATTCATTATAAAAAATTTCTCAGTCAATCAGAAACCTTGGAATGGCCTATAATTATGCATTTTATTTTATCCAGGACAAAGCAAATCTTCCACTCCAAACCGGAACATGAAACAGAAAGACAGGTTTGCATATCTGAGGAGCCAAACATTGTACACACCATGTGGCCTCAAATGTTATTTCTGTATCCTGTTCAAGTATTTCTACAAAATGACAGGACTATAGAGTGACTAAAATGGATGAATACAGAATATGAATATGTTAATGATTTAGATTCGAGGAGAGGTTCCATCTAATAGGATAACCAATCAATGGTCATCTATCACTCAGTTATGAGTATCAGTTGTTTTATTCTGAAGTGCGGCATGCAGTATGGAATTCGCTTTACTGATATGTGTAAACATAACAAGGGGATTTGATTGTATGATGAAACTAACTGTTCTCCAGTTCTTGATATGAACAGGAGAAACAATAAAAGACCAAAGATCTATTAGCAAATTTAATAAAAGACCACAATATCATGATTGTGAAAAAATTCAAAATTTAAAAGCATGACAAAGATTAATACAAGAGAACTGGAAAATAGAATAGCTTCATAAAAAATAAACAAGGGAAATGCCAAGATATTTGCATGCAAAACAATGTTTGTGAATGTCTCTTCTTTTAGTAGCAAGAAATGAGTGATAGCACATTCTAACCTGACCATCAATAGCCTGGTTATCATACTGAAGTTTAGCCATTTCCTTAAGCTCTTCAACAAAACTTTGGATGCTAGTAACATCTTCAACTGAGGTCTTGACATTGTCTGCTTTTAGCTCATTTGTGGAAGCACTCCCTTCAGAGTTCTGAGAATCTTTTCCTGACAAACTTTCAGTATTGGAACCATAGTTTAATGCAGAAAGATTCTTTTGGAAGCCATCAAGTCTTCCAGGGAAAACTTTCTCAAACCCACTCTGTGGTGTGTTCTGATTTTGTTCTTGTTTCCCAAACCAGGAAGATGAGCTAGTCATGAGAGTTGCTCTACAACTTTGGCTCCTTGTCAACTTCATGCCTCTAGAACTTGATAGCTCAGCTTCAGGTGGCCATGGAGATGGTTCATCAGGATAGGGATTGACAAGACAGGCAATGGTTTTTTGCATGTCCTGGAGTTTCTGCTCCAGTGCATCATATGAGGAAATAGTACTTGTATGCTTTAAATCTTTATCTGTCTCAAGTGGGGTTGATATTAACTCCTCTGTTGTACCTCTGTTCCTATTCTCTGTCAAAGCTAAGAGTTTATCATTTTCTTCAGGTGACAAGGCATTAGATTCCACATTTCTGTCTGTGCTTGATTCTTCCATTTCAATGCATCGTACTTCCTTACAAAGGTCTTCATTATCTTCATCTGTTACTTGAGCAACTTCTTCCCAATTCTGACAAGAACCAGGTCCAAGCCCATCAAACTGATGACTACTAATTGACAATTGGGAAGAGGTATCACCATTTAGGAGATGGTCTTCTGAGTTTTTGGGAAGTTGTAAGAAGTGATTATTGGAACTAATTCCACTGTTTCTGTCAGAATACTGAGATATGTTGAATCCTGTGCCACCTACATCAGAACTTTGAGGATAAACTAAGCCTGATAAGTCTGATTCATCTTCCCATGCATTGCATGCTTGGAATTTAGGATGGTTATTGAATGAATCCTGAAAATGGGAAGAATAGAAAGTTTTAGTAGCTTATAACACCAACCAATGTGCAATAGTCTACCTTCATTTTATTAACATTAAATACCCATCGTCTTGGAGTTTGGCTATCTCCAACCACTTGTAGAAAACGCTCAAGCTGAGATTGAGCAAGGTCACGTTGCTGGGTTAGTTCGTTTATCTCTTTCTCCATCTGCATAAGAAAAGGCCATATAATGCCTGCTTAGCCAATCAGAAAGAGAAACTTGCTGCTTGCTGAACAATATTACAAGTTGAAAGAAGAAACTAATTTAAATGCACTAATTGATGTTTGGAGTATACTTGGAAATCTAGATAGTATTTTTGCAGCCATAGTTTTTTTTTTTTTTTTCTTTTTTGATGCATGTATCTTGTTTTTTCTCTTTTAAATGCTCCTAGCTTTACATACATGTAAGCATTTCAATATGTATAGGTGTATTTTCTTAGTATAGAAAATTATCCAACCTTTTCGATTTGAAGATCTTTCTCTCTCAACAATGCTGCATAATTATCAGGTGTGGAAGTTGGTCCTGTACTCCTCAATTCACTCTCCAGCCTGGCCAGTTCTTTTTGCAAATGCTTTACCAATGCCTTATCAGACATGACTACATTGACCTGTGCATTGGTGGCCACTTTATTTGCACAGCTTGCAAATAAAAGAGTATTCCTGGATTGCTCAACATGGCTTCGTGCAGGGCTCATTGTGCAAATGATGGCAGTTCTAGCATTTCCTCCCAAGGAAGGTTGCAGTATGCGTGTTAGCTTAGAATCTCTGAAGGGAATATGCCCAGTTCTTCCTTTGCTGAATCCAGTAATAGCATCAAATGAATAATAATGTTACTTTCTTAACTCAAATATGGTGCCTGATGTATTATAGTTAAAAAGAAAAGGGACAAAAGTAACACAGGATTCAGAAGAAAATAACCAAAACCAAATTTCCTAAATGGAACTTCATTAAATTTCTAATTTTATACAAATAATATAACCATAACCAATGCCCTCATTCGACAGTTTGGTAGCCCTCATTCAACAGTTAGGTAGGATCAGATAGAGGAAAAATTGAGGTGACCAACTAACAGAAAAATACTGCCAAAAAAAAGTAACAGAAAAGTACCTCGATGTGAGTTGCACAGCCATTGACCAAAAAACAAAACTTGATTGACATTTGGGATTTGAGAAAATAAAAACCATCAGAACTGAACGTTAGGCCTTATATGACATGATAAAATCAATAGCTTTTTAAACCAAATGCTTGATCAACTGATAAGAAGGAACTGTACATGGTGCACTAAATCAACCATCCTTTTTGATGATTTGAACTGTTGCAGCATAAAATATTATTGGTCATTTTTTTTCAAAAATTTCCACATTAGTATGGAGATAGGATTAACTGAATGCAATAGCCGTTCAGTGGGCTGTAGAACCAATGATAAATGCCCCACACCAGTCAAAATACATGGGGTCTACAAGCATAAAACCTCTCATTGTGGGTCCCATGCATTTTATGACTAGTATGGGGCATTATCATTGGTTCCACAACCAGCTACACAGCCATCATTTTCAGCTAATCCAAATTAATTAGTATATGCCTATTCCATTTAGTTATATTAGTTCTCTATTGGAAGTCAATAATCATCATATCTAAACTTTAAACTTCAATTAAGGAAATTTATTGATAATAACAAAGAAAAAGGAAAAGAGTCATACAATGAAAGGAAAGTTGTATCTTGATAATCCAAAACTAAATACAAGGTCATTTCTAAACTAAATATATCTCCAAATGGTAGCAGGTGACAGGTTAATCTGACCCAGTATCTGCCTGGGTGAAGATGTGAACTATCTGTTCAGCTCAGCTCTTGAAAAACCAGATAAGGTAAATGTTTCGATGATGAAATCCTTAAGATTAGGAACCCAATTTGTCTCTAAAAAAAACTGTAATTAGTGGAGGAATTTCACTAGGGCATGTAAACCAAATATTTATGTTAACCAGCAAAAGACCTTAGCTCAGTATAGAGCTGTACACTACCTATTTTGTTTGGAGTCCACTATTCAGTGAATGAGTCCCAGCTTATAGGCTGCCCATATTAAATTTCAACACGAAAGATAATTATTACTGTATATATAAAATTTAGTTTCATGTATTTATTTGATGGTGGAAAATAGTCTATTAAAGCCCCAAGGTACTCTACAGATTAGATTTTCAAAATTATGGGATCATATTAATCTTCATTGCAGAAGATCCTTTATGTAGTGTCCATTCAATGGTCAGTTTGAATCCTATACATGGAGCATGTGGCAGTTGAGGAAGCATCTCTGTTGCAAACAGTGCTCCTTCTAGGACTGGGTACAGATATTCTGCAAGACTTGCCTGTTAAAATTGAAATAGAATCTGCAAAGGTTGTCTTTTTCTTTCACACTTTTGTTTCAACTATTTTTTGAGAATGAGAAAGTAACGGGAAAGTCATGGTGTACATTCACATTGAAAAACCAACATTTTATCAGTAAATAAGATATATAATGGTGTTGTTTGGCATGTCTTTTTAGAAAGATCTTCCAGCAGCCCAAATGGCCAAAAGACATATTGAGCTTTTTGGGGTCTTAGCTTTAAAACCAAACACTGTTTGGCAAGTGGCTCGGTTTACCGGGCTTTTAAAAAATGCATTTAGAGGCTATTTATCACATGGAAAGACCAGAAAACTTTGTTTGGAGCTTTCTGAAATTTGGCGTTTTTGGTCTTTTTGGGTCTTTCCACGCATGCATCTTTTGGTTACCAAATGGAAAAAGACCAATTTTCAGTCTTCCGAGCTTGTCAAAGCCCAGAAGACCACATGGAAAGACTTGCAAACACTGCCTTGTTTTTGTTCTTTGAGAACTTTCCTGTTTCTTGGTTTAAAACCTAGACGAGATGCTTACCCCTAATCCCAGATTTCTGTCCATGAAATCTTGGCCCTTGGAGTAACTGGAGATTGCAAGTGCTGGCATGTGCCACATTGACACATTTACTTGTAAAAAATCAAGAAAGAGTTGATAATAAAACAGAGAATTAAAAAAAGCAGGAATAATATTCCATAGTTTTAAAAAACTGCTAAACATGATACCAAGTTTATAGAATCATTTCAAAAGTGCACTGCATAGTTGGATCATACTTGATTCAAAAATCAAATTACTATTTAATTTAGATGCCAAGAGGAAGATTCCTATAAACAACATTCAACCTTAGTTTGCGAATAACAGTTCCCAGGGTGAGTAAACTGCGATTTATGTGGCAACCTTCTTTCAACCTTGCCCCAGCTGATAGTGCCTGAGAAGCACGTTCACTTCCAGCCAGATCAACAAAGTCCTGTACAAGAAAACCAACTCAAGTTACTACCGCTTTCTGTATATTTATGTTCAGACATAGACATACATATTTAGTTGTGTAACCATGTATGTATGTCCAATAATTATCAGAGAACATTCAAAGGCAATACCTTCTTTTGCATCAGCAACTGAAAACAAAATCTGAAGGATACTTACCACACTGGCTGCAAGGGTACTCGAGTTGTCCTTGCCCAGAAACTCACGTGCAGAACTTTCTATTGTCTACAAAATCCATCATTGGATAAAAAGCAACAAGTTAGATGAATGAATTTTTCAAGACTACATACAAATCTTTGTTTAAAATGACTTCTCTAACAGAAAAGAGGCACACCAGTCTGAGAATTTGATGAGATCTGGAGCTTGTTTCATTGAGGGAGGTCTCCCCTATCTGTCTTTGAGCTGCAAGTTTGTAATGCCGTAGATAAGGATATGCAGCCATCAAATAAAAGGACTCTTTTAGAAATCCCCTTACCTTCACAAATGCAAAGGAGCTCCTGTAGATGGCTCCAGTCTCTCAGAGTTTCCTCTGTCAATCTCTCCACGACAGTACCTCTCTATTAGAATAGGTTACTGTTAGCATGATTAAACTCTCATTAGATGAAATTACATAAAGAATGATATTCACCTCTGGATCATCTAGAAGCCTAAGCGGAGTACTGTCAAAACCGAGGAGATCTCTGACAGCTTCATTGTAGATCTCCATTGCAGAGAACTTCAAAACAAATTCTCTTTCTCCGTGCTACAAGAAGAAAGAACCATACTTGTCAGAAAAGTTAGAGCCAAAAAAGATGTAATTTATAACTGGAAGTGTGCAAGGAGAGTCTAACTTGGGGGTTCCTTTACCCTATGTATATAGTCATATATATCCGCTACTGTGTATTCTGTAATTCCACTCATGGTGTATGTCTTTCCACTGCTGGTTTGCCCATATGCAAAGATGCTTGCTGAAAACAAAATTTTTGGCGGTTTATTTGCTAAATGGAATAGTATCCAAGTGGCATTCGGCAAACAAAACGGCAAGATCATGATGATTGTACTTACAATTAATACCACTGACAACAGAAAGAGCAACTTCCTTGGCTCCTAACTCATAAACCTCCTTAGTGGAGCAGTCGCACCGAAATACTCTGTCTATCCAATAAAAAGAAACACCCACAAAAAACACGATTAGATGAACTTTTCTATTAAGAGCAGATTGAAAAATTACGAAACCCAAGAAACAGAACCAGCTTTTACTAAGTACTATCAAATTCAAACTCCTTAGGATATAATTGGATCAACATTCAACACCAGTTAGTTGACTGAAACATCTTCACTCAACCACAGAAAAAAAGACTCCTTTTTAAACCAAGCCGTAATGGTGAAATGGGGAAAGAAATGAAAATAAATAAATACGTAAATAAATAATAAACTAGGAAAGGAGAGGAAAAGAAAATCACAATGGTCTTTACTGTTTTAGTTACCCTCCTGAACCTTAAACTCTTAGAAGATTTACACCTCAAATTCCACATACATACAAAAGGCGAATAAATCATACAGAACAAAGAAAAATATGGTTCCTTAATCCTTACCAAATGTATAGGCAGCCGGATACATGGATCGCTCGGCAAGATTGTTCCTACAAATAATGGTATTATCGTTGATGCATTCCCAATCGGACATATCATGTCTTGCAATCTCCTTTGCATTCAGTGGCCTTAGCCTCACAGAAACAAAAATCTTCTCCTCCTGGGCACCTTTCTCCTGCGTCTTCTCCCACCCCATCAGTTCCTCCCTACCAATAGCCCCCATGTGTCACCCCTCCGTCCGCGATTCCTGAAGCAGGAAAGAAGGAAGAAGGTGAGACTACATGACGGAAGAAAAGTTCACAGGACAAAGACAAAATATAGATAAAGATACTCACAGCTTTTCCTCTGCTCCACTGAAATGTGAGATGGTTCAAATGATAACAGCGAGATCATTTCCCGTACACAACATTGGGCCCCCTTGGCCCTTGCAACTGCAATGTCTGCAACAACTACCTAATCATGACTTGATATCAATTAAGCTTTGTTGATCACTTCGGGAGCGAACGGTTTGAATGTCAGAGAACTAAATTCTATTTTGTTTTGTTTTTCTTATTCAGCAACGAAGGTTTGAATGTCAGAGAACTCAAACCAGATGGCTTTCCGAAATCGTAATCTATTTATGCCTTGCGACGAAGTAACGGTGTTTCAAGTGTTTTAATGCCCCGTAATGTTTGGAATTATCTCAAATGGTCCCCGCATTCCAGACTGTCTTTCAATCTTTTTCTCAGCCTTTTTTCTTGTATTTTTTTCTCAGGCTCTTGAAATCTTCACCAGTTTGAGAAGTTGCGAGTTCAGAAGTTCAGATTGAGTTCTCAATTTTTTTCAAGGAACAGAATGTTCTCAGTACGCGCAACTCTTTCTGCATTGTATGGAATTCGTCTTTTCAGCCGTCTCGCCGTGTCCGCTCTAAGGATATTCTTCAAATTTCGCCCTGTAACATCAGATTCCGAAGTAGAATACAGAGTTTTGCACAATAGTGAGAAATTAATCGTTAAGTATTTAAATACTTGACACGAAATCTAGATTTTATGGACATATAGACTACGTAGAACTCCAATTTTCCTGCATTTATCGTGCATTTATTTAAAAACTATTTCCAACGGAAAATTCCGTAAAAAATGCACGAATTCACAGCAAAACCAATAATCTTGCGCCGTCGAACTAGCAATGGGTTTAATGCCTTAACAGTATCCTCGCTGACTTGAATTATTGGGACATTTCCTTTCAATTCGTAATACTTTACCTCTTAAAAGTTAAAACTCGAAAATCTTCTTCGAGCTTCAGATCCCGTATGTTCAACCGAAATGCTTCTTCAAATGCCACAGGACTTAAAATCCCGACAGTCTATCCATCATGATTGGAGATGTTTCCAAAATTCCTCAACGTAAATGCATCTCCGAAACCCTGATCTTACCAAACAGTAAAACAAAATCAATGCAGAACTTCTTCCACATTTGTATCTCAGATCTCACCGAAAAAAAAAAAAACACAGAACTTTAACAGCTATAATGAACCAAGTCAAATTAATCCGAGGGAAACAACAAAAGAAGCAGAAATAGACCTTCACGCAATGAATGTGAGAGGATCGAATACAGAAAAGAATGAGGAATCAACAGAAGAAAACGAATAGCGGACAGCGGGAGAACAGGCAAAGAAGAGGAACCAATCGGTGCTCGAAAACAGGCAATGGCAACGAAATCTCTGTCACGATCTCAAAGAATTTGAAACAAAAGACGAGGGAAAGAGAAAAGAGAGATAGGAGGTTACAGCAGGAAAACCACTCTCTCTCTCTCTCCCCCCTTCTCTCTCGCGTTTCAACTGTATTTCAGATAAAAAAAAACCAGTGCTTTTTCCCTTCTTTTTCTCTTGAAATTTGATTACAGGTATCTTATCTGCGGCCGAGGACGGGTTTCTAAGTGTCAAGATTATAGCGGTAGTTTTCTTCTTTTCCCTGAATATTAATATCAGCCCCTCATATAAAACTGCCCCCGCCAACCAGAATTAAGAACTGAACATCTCAATTACTGTTTTGACCTTCATTTTCTTTCGAATCTGCAGTTTTGCCATGCCTTAGTTTAGTAGTATCGCTTTTGTCTTTTTATGGCTAAATGGGGAGGTTTTTTAACGAGTTGGTGATGGAGCTTGGAGGAAACGAAGTCTGTCTCGCGGCGTGGATGGGCGACAGCTCGGCTAATCCAGACCATCTGATAAGGAAGTTTCTCAGTTTCTTACTACGCACGTGCATTATAATACTGTATATTAAGAAGGTGTTTGGTTCGTTAAACATTTATTGAGGGTGCCAAATAGGCGCTATTTCAGCATTTTCTCTCTTGCTTTTCTGCATGCATCAAAAAATGATAAAAGTCAACTTTAGTTAAAGTGCATGCCAGTGTAGAAGTTATTTTTTAAAGATTCTACGGCCAAGCATTTTTTCACTATTATGCTGATGTGGAGCCTGGTGGCATTTAGCAACACCTAATTGTCGTAAATAGTTGTAATTATTGCATTTCTCAGTTTTACCAACAAATAAAGTACAAATATTTATTCAATAAACATAAACAGAACCAAACACATACTAAGTGATCACATTCGCACCTCACAATCACCCCACATGCACATCTTAGCGTGCATTGGGAACACCTCCCTAAGTTGTCAATGGGAGATGTTTTCAATATACGGTCGGGATATGGTGTAGACGTAAAATTCTTATATTAGATGTGAAAATTTGGTTTTCTTCATGCCACATGTTTAATTTAGATGGGAAAATTCCCCAATACCCTGTACTTTGACCATCAGTTATGCATATCACATGACCTCATGTGCGATTTAAGACTATTAAAAATGTCAAAATTACCCTTAAAAATAAAACACACTATTCATCATCTTCTTCCTCAAGAAGATAAAACAAAGCCCAAGTTCTCTGTCACAAATCAGCAACCTACAAATTCTTATGTTCATCTACACATAAACACCCCAAAAGTAATTTTCATTTCACAAACACCATCATTTCTTAGTCTTTGGAAATTAATAATAAAAAGGAAAAAAAAAACCCAAGAAATTTTATCTATAATAATATGAGTATTACTATTATATAAGAGATCCATATGAAATCCAAGAACGCAAGCGCGAAAAGAAGAAAAAAGGAAAATTAAGGTGATGAGCAGAGCATAAAGCTTTTTCATCTACCACTGTTGTTAACATTCATCTTCTCGAAATTGCAAATCGAGAGGAGAGACAGGGAGAGTTGAACCTCGTCTTTTCCCCCAATAAACTGGTGTTTTTGATGGAATTAGTAGAGCTAGAAACGAAGACGAGAGAGAGGAAGTAGACAATGACAATGATGCGGCCCATGGAGACAGTGATAGTGATGGAGGTGCTTTTAAGAGAGGCCAGAGGCAGTGAGAATGGAGGCAACGAAAACCTTCGAGAGCAAGAACCACAGAACGGAGTTGTTGAATGCCGCAAGTCCACAACCGATGTTCATCTAGTGTCGGGTGCTAACCAACTCCCACAACTGCTCATCATGGGTCGTCTTATGCCACTGTTTGTTAACAGAAGACACGATCACAAGTGACCACATGTCCAATTGCTTCAACACCTCGAAAAGCAGATTGATGGAGGGTGATTTGACCCGACCTCCGAACCAGGCGACACGTGGACATGATTCGACGTAAGTGATAGCTCAGCATGACAGCATGGTCACAACTCGGCATAGTGATCTCGTTGAAACCCCAGCAGAACAGCTCGCTACAAGACAGCTTGCTATAGAACAGCTTGCCGCAAGGCAGCTCGCTATTGGAGCAAGCTACGAAGGAGTTTGTTACAAGTGAGCTCGCTACAAAGGAGCTCGCTATCGAGTAACCCGGAGTCTTCAGGAAACTTCTTATTCGACAGGACTACGCATGCCAGACTGCTCCCACATCTCTTGTCCGGCAGTGCAGCACCTACCAGTCCAGAGGACTGCGCCCACGTCTCACGTCAGGCGGTGCCGTGCATGCCAGCTCTGCATAACGTCTCTCGACTGACAGGACTGTACTCTGCGACAGATACCTGCACCAATTGAATCAGCCTGGCGAATAACGGCTAGCAGAGAATTAGAGGCGGTTACACCCGATTTGACAGAGCATTAATATATAAGGGCTCTGACCCCCAAGGAAAAAGGTAATTGAAAATTGCGCATCTTCACTCTTAGCATTTATTTCTTTGCAACTCTCTAAGCTCTCCACCGAGTTCTAACTTAAGCATCGGAGTGTTCCTGCCGGGCGAGCTCCCCAGGAATCCTTCGTCTTCTTCTCCTTCTCAAGTGACTAGATCATGCTACATCATTTGGTGCCGTCTGTGGGAATACGCTTCAAAAAGCCTCTCACCAAGCAACTTCAGTAAAACTTCAATGGCTTCCTCCAGCAACGCCGGACAAAGTGACGATCAAAACACCTCCGGGGAATGACCTCAGTTCCCTACCGTCTGCATTGGCTAGTTCACTATACCCCTCTCCGCAGACGGAGTCCCTACCCTGAGCGTGCCTCAGGTCATGGCGCCAGTAAATGCTCCACTCCCTTCGCCGGTAGAGGCGACCTTTGCAGAACCATCAGTTCTCCCGGTGGTCGAACAGAACCAGCTAGAAAACTTGGTACACTACGTGCGACCTATACAAGCTCAAATGCAATAGGTCCACCAGTTTCAGTTGTACCAGCAGCAAATGTTTCACCACATCTACCAACAGCAGTTTCCACCGCTGCCTCAGCATCGACAACAAGTTCCACCTCGACACCCTACTGCACCACAGGCCCAGCCCCGCTGTCGCAGTGAGCGTCTCCCCCGCCGAGGAGAGACCTCCCGAACTCAGAACCCTCTCGGAAGCCAGGTCTCATCCCATGGCAGGAGGGAAAGACAAGTTACTCCCCCCATCTCATAGCCTGTAGTCAGGTCGGGGGCCTCTCAGCCAGTCAGACCCGCGTCGCCTCGGCCTTCACAGTACGAGCTTCCGCTCGCCGAGAACCAGTTCGAGGTCCTGGCTGTGGATTGTAGACAAGGCCCTTCAGTTCATAGCCATCAGCAACAATCCGAGCCCCACCCTGGGCCCATCGAGCTTGGCAACACAGAAGCAAATTGTACTAATGCCGAGCTAACGAAGCAGCGGAGACGCCGCCGAGCTCGTCGAACTGCCACTCACAACCTGCCCGAGCTCAAGGGTAAGGAAGAGGTGAGCTCGGATGAAGTAAAAGCCACTCCGCTCCTCTCAGTGCCATCGCCCCTATGCCAAATGACTTCAAGCTTCCTCTCTTGGACAAGTATGATGGATCGTTTGATCCAAATGACCATGTCGATGCCTTCCAATCGCAGATGCACTTGGAAAGGGCCAGTGAGTCCTGCATGTGCGTGGCCTTCTCCACCACTTTCGAAGGAATAGCCTGCACATGGTACAGGAACCTCATGCCCGGGTCAATAAGAAGTTGGGCGTAGTTCGTGCAAGTCTTTACCTCCCATTTCGTCACCAGCAAGCGGTGCCCGAGAACCCAAGAAAGCCTCCTCGGCATAGTCCAGAGAGAAGGGGAGCCTATCCGCAGCTACATCAAGCGGTTCAATGACGCTTGTTTACAGATACCCGACCTGGACCCCGCAGTGCGGCTTACAGCAACCAAAAGAGGCATCACCCACAAAGAGTTCAAGTGGCACGTGGTGGTCAATCGACCCAAGACTGTAACCGAGTTCCTCAAACTTGCGGACCAGTTCATAGGGACGGAGGAGGAGATCAACTAAAAAAATGAAAGTGTGCCCGAGAAAAGGAAAAGGGAAGGTGAGTCCTCGATCCAAGGGGACAACAAGAAGAAAAAAGACCCAGCTCGGGGGGCAAGGCCAGGACAGCCTTTCCGAGCTCCTCCAGTTGAAAGGACTGACTACACACCCCTGAACGCGAAGCGGGCCGAGATCCTTATAGGAATCAAAGACGCCCCCGTATGTGAAGTGGCCACCCCAGCTGAAAGGGGACCCCAATGTAAGAAATAAGAATTTGTATTGTAGTTTTTATAAAGGTCACGGTCATAGTACCGAGAATTGTAAGAACCTCCGTGACGAGATAGAAGAGCTCATCCGTCGCAGATACTTAAGGAATTTTGTTCAAAATAATAATAATAATAATAAAACAGGTCAGCAGGGGGAAAAAGGTAGAGATGCTCCCGAGTCCAGTAGTAGGCAAGCAGAGCAGCCGCTAGACCTGTTCATGAGCTGGGTCGGGCCGGGCTCGGGCCTATTCAGATAGTTTTTTTTCCTATTTAAATGAACAATGGGCCTACAAGATGGTTTTTTCCCCTTTCTTTTATATTTTAAAACACAGTTTTACATTCTTAAATCAAAAAATTTATTCAAATGGACATAATCACATTACTCACTTTAAGTCTAATATTAGGTCGGGTCGGGCCGGGCTATTTTGACAAAACCCAAGCCCGGCTCGAATTTATTGCGGGCCGGGATTTTTGGCCCGAATTTAAGCCCACGGGCCTATAACCACATTCAAGCCCGTCCGGGGGCTAAGCCGGGCCGGGCCGGCCCGTCGGGCCACCCGGTCCATGAACTGGTCTAGTAGCCGCAGAGGCAGCCCCCTAAAGAGAGACCAGTTTGAGGGACTATTCATGTGATCGTCGAAGGTTCAATCGTCGCGGGCTGCACCTCACTGCAGCTCGGACATCAGTCCGTGAGGTCGGAAGGGAAGAGCAGAACCCCCCGAAGCGGCCAAGGACAGAAGACCCAATCTCTTCACTGAGGACGACGCGCGCGGGGTCCACTACCCCCACGATGACGTGCTCGTCATAAAGATAAGGATTAATGACTTCGAAGTCAAGCGTGTCCTCATCGACTCTAGTAGCTCGACATACAATCTTTTCAAGGCAGCATTCGACAAGCTTTAGCTCCAAGTGAGCGATCTCAAGCCCGCAAGTACTCCCTTGGTAGGCTTCAG